GGGGTCCCAGAAAGGGGATGACTGTCTTTACTCACTGCTCTTCAACTGTGAGCACTGGCAGCATTGCTCATCACCCAGCACTGAGTTAGTACAGACACAACTATGTTCTTTTAAATGTCCTCTTCCCCCATTCAACCACTCTTCCGCTTTGACTTTAAGTTAGAAAACAATAGAAAAACTGCTTTATCTTCTCTGAATATACAGTACGTGCTTCCTATTTATTCCCTGAATGTATTTTAATATATTTTTAAATTGTTAGTACCACCAAACTCCATTTTTCCAGCATTATGTCAGAGTAGTTTTTTTATCCAGCCTATGGTGGAGCTTTCAAGTGCTTTTTGTTCACTCAAAAAAAAAAAAAAATCAACTGTGTTGGTTTTCATGCTCTTTATAAAGCATTGGACGTACCAACGTGTTTGAGATGCAAAGAGTAGAGGAAGCTTATCTTTGGTCCAGTTCTGCATGCAGTGTAATTAAACCTGTCCCTTACTATTTTCTGCAGAATATTTTCCATTTGTGGTTGAAAGCAGACCGTATGGGCAAGTAGCAGATGTTTCCTTTTAGTTCTCCATATGACTGTGCGGATGCCCAATATGCGAAAATGATTTTTCTGGCAAGAGGTGCTATGAGGAACTGTGGCTCCTTTTGTGCTCTACACATTTCATTCAGATTTCCTGGGGCTCTCTTTTTATCCCCAAGGATCATTATTCAGTCTCTTGGTGGAAAAGTGAGAACACAATTATAGCATACAGGTTTTAACCTTGGCAACATGTCTCAAGCGCACTCTAGTGAAAACAGAGTTCACCTAGCTTTTCTGACCTTCCCCTGCAACTTAAGCCCTATTTGGTATTCCTCCTTGCCCTACACTGCTGAGACATGGCTATGCTCTGACATGGTTTACATCCAAGTAGTAAAGTGGAACAACTTATGTTCTCACTCACACAAAGGTATTCCTGACAACCATACACCAAAGCTGGATGCAATGAGAAGAAATACTGGCTCAGGGCGTACTGTTAGAAGGATCTTCCTCATAACTTTCAGGTGCACATAAGAGCCTGAGAAACAAGTGCCCTTCAGCTTGCTCTGTGCAGTGCTCTCATAGCCTTGGGGAAAGCAATGTCATAGAAAGCCTTGCAAGAGCAGGGGTGACAAGAGTGCTAGGTCACAGCAGAAGCACAATTCACATGAGACTGCAAAAGACTTCTTGCAGAGTGGGACAACGTGCCCTGCCTGGTCCAGCCGATGGCCTGTAAAGCGCTCTGGTGTCTTCTGGCATGAAAACCACTGTATAAAAGCAAGTCTTTATCACTTGTTCTGAGCATGCAGAGAATTACTCCAGTTGGCAGGAACTCTTGGGAGACTCTTTAAGAAAGTGAGCCCACTGCAGTGTTTTTAAGTAAACATCTTTCTAGGATTGGTTTTGGCCCCATTTCATTAAAAAGTTAAATCCGGAAGCAAGCACTGCATTTTTTTCCCCAAGCATTTACAGGCATTCACAGCACACCTGCTCCATACCACTCCTTTTTTAGACTGTGGGAGGGTGGTATGCACTGTTTTGCCAGATAGGTGACTTTTTAAATAGCAGCACAGTACTGACTGAGCGTGTTCAGGAGTAACTTCCCTTCATCGGTTAGGTCAGGCTGTGAAATACTGAGCCAGACAAAGACATGGACTTCCACTGGCAACTATCACTCAACAGCTTCTGCTGCTAAAAGGAAAAGTTCTTGTGAATCTTTCTGCTGAAGCTTTCAGGACATCTTGGGCCACATGTGCTATTTACTTCTCTCCATAATAATGGTTTCATACGCTATCTGGAGGTAGGAGGAAGATATATAATGTTATCTTTGCATTTCTTCATCCTTTCTGTGATTGGCAAGATCATGAAAAGAATAAAAAAAAAAAAAAGATGATTCGAAAGTCCAAAAGATTACTGACTCTTGAAACACAGTTTTGATTCTGACCTTGATAGCAAATGCAAGAAGAACGACACAAAAAGGGTCTTTTATCCTATTGCCAAAGGAAGAAAAAAGAAAAACAAACCCAAGAGAGACAACAGAAAGTAGTATGTGTTTCAGCATTCAGCTGCAATGCAAGATTAAAGCATCTGACTTCATTTAGCTTCACTAAAACCCCTTAGGTGGTGACAGCTGTGTGTAACAGGAACCAGTTAAGCTCCCATCTAGGTTATGGTATTGAGCCAATTCAAGTATTCCCTGCAGTTCTGACCACAGACAGCAGTTAGTTGCTGTTGTATGCTTATCTGTGTATATCTCGACCAGTCCACACTCCAGCAGCAACTGGGAGAACTTGCAGAAAGCTTTGAAATTACTGTCACAAAGGAGACCAGATATCATTGGTTTTGGTTACTCCATAGCATTCTGGGAGCAACAGTTTACCTGAATTGCTTCATTTTCACTTGATAAACAAGTTGACTGTGCCACAGCGAAATTCGCATGCCCGAGGAGGGTGACAAATAAGTGAGCACTCAGCCTCTTGCATAATTACCTTGTCCTCCTGCTACCACTAGTAATGCTATGTTTAACTTTGAAGAAAGGAAACTGCCGTAACACAAACTAAACTGTTCAGCCCAGGAATACAATGTGTTGACTGTATGAGGTCTGAAGCTGTATGTATCACTGCTTCTGGTGATTTCTACTCAAATCCAGTGAATCTACAGCAGTTGGCACCAAGTTTCTGTAAATAAGGCACTAAAGACAGCTCTTCCTATCTTTTTCAGAGTTTAAGCCACAAGGTCATACGAAATATCCCAAAACTGTTTTTAATTTTAGCAAAGAAGGTGTTAAGTCATGCATTTTACTGTTTAAAACAAGTTTTCCCTTCATTCATTTGAAGAAAAACCTAAATATTAGGCTTATGAGCTGCCAAAAGCAATGTATCCTGCACTGAGATTTCCATAAACTTGTCCTGATATTATACTGTCCTTGTTGCAACATTATGCTATGTGCATGGAATTGCTTTGTGAGGCCTGAATATTCAGAGCACAGATCTGTTACATTCTAGAGCTTCTGGCAGACTCCACTCCAATAATGTAGGCACTGAGGCTGGTAGGAAGTAAAATTAAATGAAGCCTATTCAAAAGTTTTCCAGGCTATTTTTCATCATTTTAAGTCTACTTGGAATTACATACTCTTTTGGGGTCATTTTGTCTTTTCCCCTATTAAGGTCACCTATTAAGAAACACATTTTAGCCTTAGGCAATACACTTCAGTGTTTTTCAAGCTAAAACATGAATACATGAGAAATGAAGAATTTTAGTTCTGAATTTAGTTCTGAATTATTCTAATATAATGCCTCCCCCTGCATTCTTAGACCACAATAGAGTTCTAAGCCTGTTCCATGACCAGAGTGACTATCATTTAAAGATTGAATTGACTGACTACCTGCAAATAAGATTAGACATGTAAGTGACATTACATATTTTTAACAGTTAAAAAAAAAATTGAATGAGAAGTACACACAGCAGATGAGACTCAACTATGAGTTTACACAGAGAAAAGGTCAGAGCCTTCTTAGCAGAAACCATAAACATTTTAAAAGTTTTCTAAAATTGTACAAAAACACCCCTCAGAACTACCAAAAAAAGGTACAAAGGGTTGATGAACTTTACTTACTTTTTCTATACCAACAATATAATTACTGCATCTTAGTTCACAAGCAAACATCACTATACTGGCTCCAGAGCACTCCTGACAACAATACGCAGTTCAGTACAACAGGTGATCGCAGCCCATGTTCACTGAAGCACAGAAACAAAGTTCTCCCTGCTAGACAGTAAGGTATGCTGGCCGCGCAGTGCAACAGAATCTTCCACAAAATCAGCTCAGTAGCACTTGGACTTTCTGCCCATACAGAAGCGGAGCCCCAGTGGCACTGAAGTCACTTTAGACGCATCACTGAAGACAATGAATACACCACTGAAGTACAGAGTTGCTACAGCACTTTCCTAAAATATGCTCATAAAAATACTGACGAATATTGTGGACAAATTAAGAGTGAAAGGCTGTTGTACTCTTCTGTGATTTGTAACCAATTCTTGTACATTTTAAAATTATTTTTTCTGTTTACGGTATAGTACACAGGTTTTATATGGAATCTGTGCTTAAGAAAAGCTGGAGTAAAACTCAAACCAGAAACTATTTTTCTATGACAAGTGTATACAAAATACGCAACTTGCTACTACAGCAATTATTTCTGCTACAAATTTTCAAAGGGCGTAGACACAGATGCTGAGGATCAGGACTAACCAAAATTATAATGGAAAAAAATTAGAAAAAAAGAAGAAATAAAAGAATAAAGAAAAAGAATGAACTAGAGATAAGAACTGGAAATGATGGATAGGAAAGTTAGAAGAAACT